CCAAGGCCCTCCCGGGCCCCAGGCAGGCAGGGGTGGGGAGAGGCGGGGAGGAAGCAACTTACCCTCCCTCTTCTCCTGCCTCCTCCTGGCTGAATGAGGGCTGGAAGCGGGGCGGCCGGAAGCAGGGGGGGGGGCTTCGCCATGTGCCCCGCCCCCTGCACCTCACCCGGGGGAACTGTGTTCCCCCGCGTTCCCCCCCGAAATGACCTCTGATTCCAAGGCAAAGGCCAATGAGGCTGCATATGCAAATAAACTCTGCGTTCTGACTGGCTATGGGAGGGCAGCAAACTGTTTAGAATGTTGGAGGCGAGACTCAAGCAATGCAGCCAGTGGATAGGGACAGATTCTGAGTGACACACCAGGGCGCCAACCAACTCCAGAGCATGTGGAATGTTCTAGAAAAGTGCCACCAACATTCGGCTTTTATATATAAGGGAGATATAGGAATTATCTTTAATACCATAAGTTACCAACTTTAACACTATAAGTTAGTCGCTAGCACTTTATTTGACATAAGTTAGTTTTAATGAATTGTTTTAGATATTTTATATTTATTGTATTGTGTTTTTATGATTTTAATTGCCCTGAGCCTGCCCGGCAGAGAGGGTGGGATACAAATCTAAATAAATAAATAAATAATCCATCTGAGAATTTTTTAACATAAAAAGGGTTTCCACAATTTCAGACCAACTAAAACAAACAAACAAATAAAACTTGTAGAATGTTCTGGTAACTCTGAGTTGGAGACATGACTCCAGTTCACAGAGTCTGCAGCCCATATGCAGTAGCTCTCCAAGTCCATCCAGTTAGGGTTGCCATTCCCCAGTTGGGAGCAGGGGATCCCCTGGTTTTTTGGGCTTCTGCCCACCGCTGGCCAGCAGGAGAAAACAGCAGTGTTGCCAGAAATAAACATGATGCACTGACTTCATGCAGAAATGGTGGTGATGCTGTTGTTTTGGGGCAAAACTCTATGATTTGAGGCTGATTTTACCATAGTGTTTTGCCCAAAAATAAGACCATCACGGTGCAATGTCCCCACCATGCTGACATCATTTCCGTGTGATGTTAGCATGTTGAAGTGCTCTGTTCCTAGGCTTCCCAAGTCCCCCCGGGGGGTGGGAAAACCCCGCCCCAGAGGCCCATTCCTCACCGCTGCCGGATCAGGCCCCGGGGGGATCAGGCCCCGGGGGGAACGTGTCTGGCGTCGTCACGTCACTTCCGGGTGACGTGCATGCAGCATGCATGCGCGCAGACCAGACGCTGACCGGGAGCCCCCTGCTCCCGGCGAAAATCGACTTGGCAACCCTATCTGCTCCACTTCCAGAAAGTTCCCTCCCACCCCCTGCCAGCACGATATTAGGACCTGGCAACCCTACCTAGTACTTGAGTGACAGGTTCCCACAGGGATCTGTAGAACTGCAAACTTGTATTGGATGTCACTGCACCAAAGTCCTCTGAGAAAGTTTTCATGACTGGATTTTGAAATGACTGGATGAGTTGTATTTTAAAGGTGTCCTTTGAGGCCTCCATCCTGCTTCTTTTCCTCAGCTGAGCCAATGCTGGCCATTCCTGGTTTCTGCTTGCTAGCCCAGTGTACCCTGCCCGTCTCTCCATTTCAAATGGTTTATCATCGTTTTTTTTTTTTAGGTCTGGGTTAGGGTTAGATCTGGGCACTTGACAGATTTTTCACCTGTCAATCTTCCATGCCATTCTCTGATGTAAATTACCCTTAAAGATACTGCTTGGTCTGAAAGGGAGCATATACACTTGGAAGGTGTCATGGAGAGAAGGGTTAAGCTCCCTTTCCTCCAATGCCAATCAGTTTGGGGCTCCTCTGGCTTCTATTAAAAGGAGTTTAAAGAGAGAGAAGATCTGATCGGAGATCATAAACATCTTACCTAGTTTGGCCCAAAGGTTTTTGGTTTTTCCCCCCTTTTAAGAGCTTCTCTCATTTTTTTTATTATTATTATTATTATTATTATTATTATTATTATTATTATTAT